TGGGCTGCAGGATTTTCTCCTCCTCCAGTAAGCCCCTGGCTCCCTCCAGGTAGGGTCTGGGCTCCTGTCTCCATTCTCATAATCCCCTGAGAGCGCTCCTGGTTAGGACCCACCGTCCACGCATGTGTCCACTGCCCTGGTGACGGCACTGCTCCTGGGGACAGGCTTTGTTTCCTTTTCTCTGAAGCCTTGACCAGCACAGGGCCTGGTCTGAGGAGGTGGTCAGACGGACCTGTCTGGAATACACCGGCCCCCGAGGAGTACGTGAGAAGGTAGCCATTCACCATCCCAGGCCCGGGAGGACGGTGACTCCCGAGGGTCTTGCCTGTCCATCACTTTTCTGAAACTTCAGAGGCGCCCTCCTTCCCCTTCAGACCGAGCCGTGGGGTAGCTGAGCCCCTGCCCGGTCCCAGGGATAAGCCGTGTGTCTTAATCCATTACTGCGATGCTGATGGACACCCTGAGACAGAGTGATGTGTAAGAAACGGACTTATCGACCCCAATTCTGGCTGGGAAACCCCAAGTTTAGTAAGAAATCCTGAGATCGAGGCCCAGGAAGGAAGATTCTAGAAAGGCCAGTCAAGAGATCAGATGGCTGTGATAGTCGTGAGGACTCGGGTCCCGAGTGAGGACAGAGGGGGCGGTCTCTCCATGCACTCAGGCCGTGACGACAGAGGACCTCGGGGGCACACGGCCATCAGGCTGGCCCAGCGGGTTGATGGGGACATGGCGGGGGGCAGGCAGCGGGCGTGTGCAGAGACTACACGCGGCGGTGGCTCTCTCGGGAACCAGCCCCTGCCCACAAGAGCTAGAGCTCTCTGGCCTCACGGGACATCATACATCTGGTCGTGAGCGAGCTGCCTCCATGACAGAGCCTCCAACTACCATGACCCAGTCACTGCCCACGAGGCCTCGCCACCTCCCGACTGCAAGTTCCACAGCGTGAAACCTGGGGGACAGACCGCGATCCGAAGCACAGCGCTGTGTCATGCTGGTTGGCCAATCACAGTACTCCATTGCTCTGGCTGGTGGTGGGGGGCGGATAGGCACGTGACTGGCGCTGCCTGGTGGGCTTCTGCTTCCCGCCACTGGGCCTGGGGGCCTGGAGTTGCCAGGGGCCATCACAGAGCAAAGGTTGGAGGGGAGCGGAGTCCAAAGGCACTGTGGGAGCTCCCGGATCAGACGTTCCTGAAGTAAAATCTATACAGACGGGGCTTGTCTATACAGACGGCCAACACGCCCCTTTGTGCCGAAGCAGGCCCCAACTATTCACAGCCCAAAGAACCTTGAAGAGAGCGTGAGAGACGTCTGAGACGGCATCGGGGCAGGGAGGTGCAGGTGTGGGGGAAGCACAGGAGCCCTTAGGAGCAGAGGAGAGTCCCCAGGCTGGATAGGAGCTGGGACGTCTTCCCTAAAGGTCGTGTCTCAGCTGAGACCTCCAGGCCAAGTAGCACAGAGCTAAGGACAGGGGTGGGAGAGGTGAGAGAAGAAAGCTGCACAAGAGAAATGGAAACCCCAGTGGGGCTGCCTGCAGCTTTCCTAATAACAAGTGTAAGGATAGCACCTGCTTCAGGAATGGCTGAATCCAGGAGCCCAGGCAGTGTCTCAGGACTCCCCTGGAAGGGACAAGCTGAGTCCCACGTGTTGGTCTAGGCTCTGGTCAATATGCCAAGGCACCTACCTACCCTTGAGAACCGCCCAGCTAAGGTGGGACAGGCACAGGGATGTGTTCAATGACCTGGGTTCCTGCAACCCTGTGATCAGCCAGCCCCTCCCCAGGGCACGTGGCTCACAGGATCCAGTGTAGGGGACACTGCAGAGGGTAGAAAGACCCACCCGAGCAGTGACCCACCATGAGCATGTCCAGGGAGGACATCCCTCCCAAAGTGCCCTCCAGTTCCCACTGCCCCTTGGTCCTGGAAACGCCTCTCCCAAGGTACTCGACCACAAGTGATGCCATTTGTGATGTGTAATAAGCACTCATTGCTGATTGGCCAGGAGAAGTCACCTGACCTCTGGGCTGGCCAATGACTTGCACCCAGGGCTTGGAGTTAGAGAAAGATTTGCTCTCTTGAAGTTTAGTAAGAAATCCTGAGAGATCGAGGCTCAGAAAGGAAGATTCTAGAAAGGACAGACAGTCAAGAGATCGGGTGACCATGCAGTGGTGAGGACTCAGTCCTGATGAGGAGAGGGCGGTGTCACGGAGCGGCCAGTATGACAGAGCTGGTGGTGTCACAGAGCTGGCAGTGTCACGGAGCAGCCGGTGTCACGGAGTGGGCGGTGTCACAGAGCGGGCGGTGTCATGGAGCTGGCGGTGTCATGGAACGGGCAGTATGACGGAGCGGTCAGTATGACGGAGCGGGCCGTGTCACAGAGTGGGTGGTATGACGGAGCGGCCAGTGTCACGGAGTGGCCGGTGTCACGGAGCGGCCGGTGTCACGGAGCGGGCTGTGTCACAGAGCAGGCGGTGTCAGGGAGCGGGCGGTGTCACGGAGCGGACGGTGTCTGTGCACACAGGCCGTGGCGTCTGTGGACAGCAGGCATCTGCTGCTCAGGTGTGGAGGCGGGAATGGCGAGGTCACGGGGCCGACGGTTCAGCCTGGTGAGGCTTGGTCTCTGCTTCACAGATGAGACCTCCTGCTGGGTCCTCAGGAGGTGGGAGGGTGGAGGGTGGACGGGCAGCAGGCTCAGTCCTCCTCCGGGGACACTGCGGCTGGTGCAGTAGTGGCCTTCCACAGGCCACACCTCTTTTTTTTTTGGAGAGATTTCCACTGTAGGGCGCATGCGCTCGCCAGACAGACAGAGAGAGAGAGACATAGAGACAGAAAGCGAGAAATCACCCCCCAGGGGGGATGGTCACGCC